GCGCACACGGGGAACCAGATGGTGGCCACGATGGCGCAGAGCGCTGCGGAGACACGGACAAGGCTGTGAGTGGGCGGCCCGCCCCACGCACACGCCCCTCGGGCCCCGCCCAGCTGCCGAGAGCTCCGCGCGGCCTGCGGCCCAGCCCGGCCTGAGGCTTGGCGTCTGTAGAACGAGCGGATCAGAATGTGTCAACCTGCTAGGTCCCTCCTTTTCCTACAGAGAACTCCAATGTAAAAAGCTAGCAATAAATTCCTTACATGCAAAAAATACGCATTTGGATTTCCTTATACATACTGACTGTATCTATCGCTAGTTATGATGCTATCATTACACTTACCTAATTGTATTACAAATACCTCCTTACGCGTCTGTTCTCTATTCCGAGTTCGGAGTTCCTTGACGGCAGGGACCGTATCTTAGTTTCGTAAGGAAGGCGCTTAGCTCAGTCTGAAGCACACAGCAGGTGCCCCGTGTGTACCCGTGGCATGACCCAACGAGCTGAGTTATTCGGAAGTGAGAAACAAGACAGTGCCCGCTTCAGTTTTCCTCCCTGTTTTTTCAATTTAGTCCATTCACATTGCGAAGACCTAAAAAGGCTATGAAAATGCTTTTACTGTAGTGAAGGATCGCTAGACACCAGTGGAGTACCAGCTAGGGGCCTGTGTTTGTGTTACGCTGTTCACAATCACAAACATCTCAACACACAAATGAACCGTCCTTGGAGCAAAACAGTTTCCCCATTCAAGGATTTTATGGTAATGATATCTGTTGTGATAGATCACAAGGGTAGAAATGGATGGTTTTGCACCAACCAGTCTAACTTTCAGATTTGGTTTATATTTTTAAAGAATAAAATAAGAAATCACCTCTATCTCTTTTCATTTTCCTCTCCTCCTAAACAAAATAGCAAAACAAGGGCAGACGGGAGTCTATAAAGACTTAAAAATTTTTTAAACCTCTAGACCAGCCCTGTCAAATAGGACAGCCGCATGCTTCGTGGGCAACTGACCATTTCTCGTGAAGCTAGTGAGGCTGAAAACGAAAATTCTGAATTTCAATTCATTTAAATTTAAATGACCACATGTGGCTAGTAGCTACTGTACTGAACAACACAGCTCCAGACAAAGTAACTCCATAACTTCCTTTGTTATCATCTAATTTTTCACAAGTACAAGCAGGACAGAAATTTTAGTTAAAGCTTTAAGTTGGAATGGTTTATGAAAGTTGACAGATCAAAAGAATAATAGTAATAATCAGGCTGCCAATGGTTAGCCAGAAAGCCTTCAATAAATTCAAGACAGACATTGCAATGTTTGCTACCTGGGGTACCCCGTCACTTTCAACTCAGCAAGCTCCTTCTGATTTCTCCTCATTCTGAGTGATTTTCTAGCTTCCCTTTATACCCACAGAGAAGAAATATAAGTTTTCTTTAACATAAGCACTCAAATTTAACAGCCCCGCACATTAGTTCTCAACTGAAGAAAAGATTTAAGTCTTACCCATTTTCAAAGACCTTTTAAACTATCTCATTTCCTTTTGTGTAGCTTGTAACATAGGTTTTTGTTGACAACAGATTAAGTTCCACCCCCCCAAGCTGGGTTTAGATATACCTAAATAGATGCGATTCGTATCCTCATAAAGTATGGATCCCAAGTAGAAGTCAAAGGAAGAAAGTAAATTTGGGTTTGAATTGCTCAAATTGGTTCTCTAACAGCCTAAATTCACTCCATTAATTGTGAACTATTCACATATATAAGGAGTTTATATAGACTATCTAAAAAGCTAAAATCTATCCATATGCTAATGAATGCATTTTTCCTATAGAGTGAGAGCAATCACGCCAACTTTTGTAATATTTTTGTGTAAGACACCATGAGAAGACGTATTTTCCTTCTGTGACTAGAATGTTCTCAAGAAAACCAGCATTAATCAAATCTTCCCTTTCCAGCCCAGGACTTTAAACACCTGAGATACAGGGAAAAGTCTTTTTCTGTCTCTTCCTCTGGCCACAATTCTAAATCTGACACTCTTGGAGAACTGCTTGGCTACTGTCATAGTCATATTTTCAGTGAAGCACAGAGAAAAGCCTTTTTCTTTATCAGGACAAAGGACAGAATCTTCTAGAGTGTTTCAGCCAGAGAGAACTGCTCTAGTCTTTGTATCAATACACAATCCAGCTACAGAGCCCTAGGCCCCAAAAGTAAGAATTCATCTGCTATGGGCAAAAACAGCAAACACCCAAGCTTGATTAGAGGGAAAAGGTAGGGAGTGTAAAGCTGAATTCCACAGGAAAAAACAATTTGAATCCCAAACAACTGATGTGGCTCAATCCAACCAGTATTTCCTATAAAGTTAACTGGGTTTCCAAACAGCTATGGTTAAATTAACTTTTATATTCTTTTGATTCTTTATATTTAAACATACCACACACACACACATAAGCATTCCCCACATTTCATGTAAACCTCACTTAACTTTCAGATTTGGTTTAGATTTTATAGAATAAGATTAGAAATTACCTTTAATTTAATTCTTCCTAAGCAAACTAATAAAACAAGGTAATTTTCATATAGGAAAGAATCAGGCGCAATAAATATTCCAAAAGTAAGTATCAATCTTGATTTTGAGTGTTTAAGAGATTTTGTTATATTTTATTCCAACATAATTAACTTAAAAAAGAAAAAATTTTAAAAATGTCTAAACATTTAAATGATGAATCTATAGGACTGGATGAGTGAATGGCTGAATGGATGGACAGAGAGACAGATGAATGAGAGGTGGTCTCATTTCAAGTCTACTTTCCACTTTGTACACCAAAACTGACTTCCCAAATCATTATACCTTACTCATGATTTACCTCATTAAAGATTGCCTGCCTTTACTTATATGCATATATGCACAACCCAAGGGTATGGACAATGGTGCGGAGAGGGACTGGGGCGGGGGATAGGGCGAAGTGGAATGGGTCATTGGGGAGAAAAAGGGACATCTGTAATATTTTGAACTACAAAAAAAAATTTTTTTTAAATAAAATAAAATCAATAAAAAAATATTTTTAAAAAAGATTGTCTTCTTTTATAATCCAAGCAAAACAAGGCAAATGAGCACCGGCAGGCTCTTTATTTCCTAGCAGATAAATGAACTCTGGGTGGAATTCCTGTGGCTCTCAAAGATGAACCACATCAAAACCACTAAAAGATGACAGACTGCCACACAACATGAAAGGAAATGAAAGGTTCACTGGAAACAGTGACCTTCCATTGAACTCACAATGAAGAATGTTTACAAACTAAAACAAGAGAATTTACTCAATTTCAGCAGTGGTTTGAAGGGAAAGGGGGATATGTTTTAATTGATAAAGTTAAAAATCCAAGTCAAACCATTACTCAACTAAAAGATGTGAACCAACAGAACTGGCAATAATTTTTAACTCTCTTAAAAACATATAAGACCTGCTAGATTTATTTGTATTTGGAGAGAGGGGAGAGGGGGGAAAAGAGAGGGGAAAAAAGAGAGAGAAAGGGAGAGAGAAAGAGAGGGAGGGAAATTGTAACAGTCTTGATTATTAAAGAAAAAATTTTTAAATTATTTTCTTAAAAAGTCACAGTTACTTATAAGGTAAAGAAAATTGAAGAAATATAAAGAGAATTTTCATTGCTTTTCTTTTATGTCAACAGAATTTGTTTTTAAATTAAGTCTCTAAAAACAGGACAGGGGAGTTTTAACACTGATTTTTTTATCTGTTTCTCTTTTCTACCTTCAGGAAATGCAATAGTTAACTGCACAAGGGTGAAAAAACCTGCCATTTGTGGGGGGAGTAAAAAGTGAAAATTGGGGATATTCTTATTTTCAAAAACAAAAGGAGAGCAGGGAGAAGAAAACTTCCTTATGTAGACATAAATTCTTTTGGACTTGGTCCTCTACAAGTAAAATTCCTTGCTCTTCATTGAATAAAATTGTTTGCCTCTCTTGATAAGTTTCAAATAATGTGATACAGTGGTGCTCTTTAATTGATAGAACGCAACCTTATTAAAAGTTAGCCGTGATTTTGATGTAGCCAAACACAGAAAATATTTGAAAAGGCCATTTTAGAGCAATGAAATGTAAGTGTAATTTTTAATCCCTTTAGGAATTAGATGACAAATAAATGTAATGAAGTTAAACAAACTTGGTACATGTGTGTTTGGAGGTAACAACTTAGAGAGACACACAGTAGACAGACAGACAGACAAAGAGGCCCAGAAAGACAGAAGAACACCAGCCCCTGATGTTTCTTCCTTCCTCCATGAACACCTCTGTTCTTGGGCTTTGTCACTTTCTGTATGAAACACTGGAAGACTGAAAGCACCATTTCTAACACAGAGCAGTATTTTCACTAATATCACTTAAATTAATCTGACTTATATTTGTAATACTGGAAAAAATCTTCCTTGATATTATATCTGAGATTTGCTTCCAAAACATCTGGGGAATGGAAGAAAAGGGGAAGTACATCGATGAAGCAGGTTGGCCGTGGTTGATCATTACTGAGAATGAGTTTGGGTTCACAAAGGTTTATTAGACTATTCTTCCTACTTTGTGCAAGTTTGAAATTTTCCATAATAAAAACTTTTCTAAATCCCCCTCCATTTAATATTTCACAATGTATGATTGAACACTGTCTTCTATAATCCATACTATTATTACATAGGATCTAAATAGCAACCAGCTTCAGCTTTACACAAAGATGCCAGTTAAGTCAAGGCAACAAGAAAGAGATTTCTAACAAACTCTTGGTTGGAGTCATATTTATTAGTTGTTTCCTTATCATTTGAATCTAGAAAAACAATTGCTTTTCTTTTTTCCATTTATCATTCTCTAAATTTTGACTTAAGAAAGCATAGATGTCAAAGGACATATTCCTCTTATATAGACTTTTATGAATATCTAATTTTTACAACAATCATCAAGTCAATGGAATATTTGAGTACATTATTTTCCTGGCCTGCTTTCAGCATTTTCCCCCCTTTATTTCTATTCAACACATCATCATCTCTTTTTTCCTATAACCTTTTTAAAAAGTCACTTTCATGGTTATTTGTTAAATTTTTTTTTTAATCACAGAATTTAGAGACAGGAGAGATTTCATAAAGCAGTGAATTCCTCCAATTTTACTGATAAGGTCATTTTAAGCCACAATCATACTAAGATGCTACATCCTTTCCATTACCCAGATGGAATTTGATTTAGATTAGGGATTTATTTGTATAAAGCTAATGAGCTTGGAGGGAGACTTTTTCTAACAATTCTCTTAAGACCCCACAATTAAGGGCAACACCCAGGAATTCCAATTCCAGTAAGAATCTGATTCAGTGTGCATGACAAGCTCAATTTGTCCCACATTTACACACACCATTTATCTACAATTTCATTACTAACCTGTAAGTTCCAAGTTAAAGCAACTTTTCTCCAAGACAAATAGGATTCCTGGGACCATATTTTTATAAAGAAGGAGAGAAGATGAAAGGATCCCATTAAGAAGGAAAATACATTTTCTTTCCTTCCATTCCTACCCTATCTCCCCAGGAAACCCCCAAATCAAGTGCTCTCTAACTTATAGTGAGATGAGCATTAGACTGAATCAGAACTGAGCTTGAGCGTTTGCAGTTGGGTAGCTTAATATGGCTTTTTATAATGGGATAAGCAAAAATGCTCCAGCTACTGATCCCTACACTCTGGTCTCTACAAAGTAAACAAAGGAACTATTTCTGTTAGACCAGGATGAGACCTAGTGTTTCCAGAAACAGTTCATGGTCTCTCCTTACCAGTCCCGAGAGTACCCTGCAGAAGTTAGACATGACTGAAAGAATACCCAATTGCCCCGTGGGTTAGCTCTCTAGTTCCTCTAACCAACAACAGCAATAACAATAGCAACCATTTGTTGAGCATATACTATGTGCCAACACTCTGCTAAAGAACTTGCATATGTCTGGATGGAGATAATTATGCTAAGTGAAATAAGCCAGTCAGAGAGAGACAAATACCACATGATCTAACTTATACGTAGAATCTGATGAACAACATAGAAACAGAGGCACGGATACATGGAACAGACTGACAGCTGTCAGAGGGGAGGGGATTTGGCAGGCTGGATGAAAAAAGATGAAGGGATTAAGCAAAAAATATGTATGTATATATATATTAACCACAGATACAGACAACAGAAGGAAAGGGGGCAGGGGTAGGTAGAGGTGGGCAAAGGGGACATAAACGGGGGCAAAGAGACTTTGCTTTGGGTGATGGGCGCAGAAGGTAGTGTGCAGATATTGTTTTGTTGAGCTATACACTTGAAACTGGTATGGTTCTGTGAATCTCTGTCACCCCAATAAATTCAATTTAAAAACGCTTGCATATGTCATTTCACTGTTCTTACTAACCTCAGAAGAAGGCATTGCTGTCCCCATTTTATACAAAGGCTCAGAGATCCTAAGTAACTGCCCCAGCGCACACAGCTGGAAAATGGGAAGTCCGAGATTGAGTGCAGTTGGTCTGACTCCTAATAAGATAAAGCAGAGGCGCCTCCTGCCTCGGCAGGCGCTTGTGAAAAACCACAGATTAGCTTCGCCTCAGATCCGTTGTGATCTGAGGAGCCCGCTGCTCCTGAGCTGCTCCTCTGGCTTTCGAAGCCCAGCAGCATCAGCTCCCGCTCCTTCCCCCGCAGCGGGACCCAAATCCTCACTTCATTCAACTTAGACCGCCGAGGAGACAAAGCTGTCCTACAACAGGCATGATGTTTTACGCTTTTGGAAAAATAATTGAAGACCTTCAGGGGCAGGAAGAACTGATTTTAACTGACAGTGCTTACAGTGTCCATACCAAGATTAACGTTGACACTGTTTCCAGTTCCTCCTGGTCCCCTTTGGTCAGCGGCCACACCTCAGCTGGTGGACCAAGGGTGACCCCTAGGACCCAGCACTGGCTTCTCCCCGCAGGAAGGGCAACCCAAGCCAATCCAGAGCCACACAAAGGGAGCCTTCACTGTCCCCTGCTCCTCCCACCCTCTGCCAAGAGGGAAAACAAGGCACTTGGGCTCCATGGGGAGAAGACCTAGAGGAGACCAGCAGGTGCCACACTTGAGACAATGAGCTTTACATTTCCAGAGCTAGCTTGTTCCAGTCAAAACAACATCCAACCCAAAGGCAAGTGGCCACCCCCTGAGAAATAAATGTGGTCAGGGGCAATCAAAGAGGAAGCAGGTAACACTGGACATGCAAGGCTACAAGAGGGCAAGGAGTGGCCCTCTCTCCAGTCCTTCCAGAGAAAGGTGCAGCCTCCCTGAGGTTCAGATGGCTCAACACGCCCCCATCCTTTCACTCAGCAGCAAACAGACTGAGGAACTCACATCACTACCCAACCTCACCTCACCTTCCTTTCTACAGTTCTATCTACATCCACCAACCCATTTGAAAACAGTAAAGAAAAGCTTTATTTAATTCAGCCAGGAAGTTTCAAAAACTGGTTATTTTTTCAAATAACCCTCCTTTTTCAACTGGATGATTCAGTTGTTTTCAGGGGTTTTTAAAAATACCAATGTGTGGCCCTGGCCGGTTTGGCTCAGTGGTTAGAGCATCGGCCTGTGGACTGAAGGCTCCCGGGTTGGATTCCAGCCAAGGGCACGCACCTCGGTTGCAGGCTCGATCCCTGGCCCTGGTTGGGGTTTGTGTGGGAGGCAACCAGTTGATGTATCTCTCTCACATCGATATCTCTCTCTCTCTCTCTCTCCCCCCCTTCCACTCTCTCTGAAAAGCAATAGAAAAAAATATCCTCAGATGAGGATTAAAAATACTAATCTGTGTATATGTGCTTTGCTTTTATGTCTTTATTTTCCACAGTGTTTGGGTTTGGCCTGGGGAGGGGGGAATATATTCCCTTACTTGTGGATATTCTGCGACATTCATACAGAAGACCAGAATTTCTAAAGATGAACCCCTAACACAATGGACCCATCTTTGGCTTAGGATCCCCAGAGCCCAAGAGAGAGCCTTCTGGAGCTTCTGTGAGAATATGAAGAAAGTCACAGACACAGGCAAATGTCTAGGATGAGAAGGTTTCTTCTAGATTCTACAAACCAGTTTACTCGTCCAACTTTCTGTGGTCTACTGTTGGAGAGGGAATTCAGATACAAAGATCTGACGATCAGAAAGTTCCCCCGTCAGTTAGACGAAGCAATTGATGCTGATTGTGTCCTTAATGTGTCACTCCTACACAAATTCTCTGTGGCTGGAACCAAAATGTCCATACTAAGATTCTTCTTGGGAAATCACAGTGGTATTCTGGTCTTTCACTCCTGTTAACATGCACACACACACACACACACACACACACACACACACACGAGCCCCTCCTCTGGGTTCTCTATGGCTTCACAAGCCCCTGAAAACCTCCATCCCTTTGCCATCCTGCAAAATGGTGTCCCCACCTCTCATGTCCCTTCGCCTCACCGGTGTCACTATGGGTGACCATCACTAAGTGGCAATGATCCACACAGAACTATGATCTCTTATTTTCATGCCCATGGCCTGATACCATGGGAATTCTTGTCCCAAGAGAACTTGACTTTGTATCTAACCCATATGCACGCCAGCTACTCCTCAATGATGTATCGGTGCACTTTACAAGAGTTCTCAAAATTCATGTCTTCCATTAGGATTTAGAATGTGTTAATTAAATTAGCATTCAAGAAAAAATAGAAATGAAATCACTAAAGAGAATGGAGCTAGAAAGACCCTCCCTAGGTGGCTAAATCAAGCCCTCTGTGTGAGGGAGTAGCCAGAAAAACTGACCAAGCACATGCCATTTCCTGGTCGAGAACTGTCCCTCCCTCCAGTCCATGACCCGACCACTTTCTCTCCAACTCATTGCTGGGGTCCTCTGCTCTGGAAACGCCTCTGATCTGGCTGAAGTGCTTTCCTATGTGTGTGCACAGCGTGTGCAGCTTTTTAATATGAGCACATACTACACTCTATCAAGATGTCCAAGTGCTCTCAAAGCAGAGACTGACATTTCTTCCAATATCCCCAGTGTCTACTGTGGGGCCTGACACTCAGCAGGTGCACAATGAATACTTATGGAATAAAAGATTGAATTACTACCTAATGATCTACCACCCTCGACATCTTACTTTTCTATTGCCCTCCTCTTTCTCTGTTCTTCTTTATACATGAACAGAAGTTCTCAATCCTAACTACACATAAAAGTCTGGGAAGCTTTCATAAAATATCTTTGTCTGGCTTTATACCCAGAAATTCTGACTCAATTCACCTGCTGTGGGACTTGGGCACAAGTGTTTTCAAAAAGGAATTCCGTGGTGAAGTCTAAGTGAAGAGCCACTGTGTAACTCTTTTCTGTGCTTCTGGACTCTCCCTTGGGTATTTCCTACCCTCAAAATCCTTTCTTGCCTTTTGTTTGTTAATTTATGTTCATGTTCAGTGACCTCCCCCAACCCCACAGATATGACTCATCCCTCTGCGTAACCGCCCATGAAACATAAAGGGATACACATTGTGCAGGGTCTATTCCAAGAGGACTCATCAAGACTCGAACAGGACGAAGCAACAGCAAGATGTGGCATTCGTCACGTTTTCTCAGAGTTGGGTGCCATGTAGAAAGCTGTCTTACCCAGGAGAATGAGCAGAACGCCAGCCAGCTGGGCTCGCCTGTACTTGGCCACGCCGGGCTCGTGGCCCATGCGGATGCAGGGGAGGACCGTCAGCAGCAGGAGAATGGCCGGCAGGCCCAGGACTGAGGCTGCGATCATCAGGGCCCGGCAGGCCTGCACGTAGCCTGGAAGCAGGAGCAGACAGGGCGGGTTAGACCGAGGGCCCCTTGGGTCCTGCACCCTGCCTCACCGGAATTCAGTACCACTTGCCTTCCTCTCTCTTGCCCATTCCAGGACTTAGAAGGTGTTAAATGTTGTCCATGATCACTTCACATGTTCAAATTTTAAAGTGACCAAAAAAAAAAAAAAAAGG